CATGACCTGCAGAAGGATGAACCACTCGTGCAAGACCATTCCCTAGTGTGGCCCGTCGTCAGGTAGCACCGGGAGTGAGGCTAGGGACACGCCAGTCTCCACCTCACCCGAAGCCAAAACGACGTCCTTGTGGTAGCGCCATGACCAGGTCCACGTAGATCAGGGCGATACGCAGTTGGGGGTGGCATTGCCTGCCGCTGAGCGCGGTGTCCACAGGGAAGGGCTGACCCCACACCATTGCAGCATCACGACAGCGTACGCAGGCTAGCAGCCAGCCGATAGCCGGTAACCACATCATAACCGGCCCGCGGAGTCCAGGGGCCCACCGATGTGACGTCCTGGTGGGGGCAGGGCGCGTGGCTGCGCCGGGAAGAGCAACCACCTGTCCGCTGGGGGCTGCACCACGCGATACACGCCGCTCGTACGGCGTGGTGCCTGGTATCACTCCCATTCCATCAACCACGATGTCCCTGCGCAGAACGGGTGCAATCGTGGCAGAGGTAGGCAGACTGTGACAGAAGCCTGCCACAGGTCAGTGTGCTGCCCTGCTGGGTTGGTCGACTCTGTCTGCTCCCAGATCACAGTGTCCTCTCACAACGCAGGGGGCGCAGCCAAGAGCCGCAGAGATTTGTGAATGAACGTGGGGGTGCATCCAGATGCCGCTGGGCACCGGTGCTGCGCTCAAGCATCCACGCATGGCCCGAACCCAGGCGGAAGCACTTGAACGGACACAGCACACTTCACGGGGGGGCGCAGCCAAAAGCCGCAGAGACTGGTGAATGAAGGGCGGGAGGAGGAGAAGGAGGAGGAGGAGGAGAGGAGGGGGAGCCACCACAGCCCAGGGCGCTGGGGGTGTGCCCAGTCTCCTGCAACGCAGTGATCGGATCAACCTCGGCGAACAGAATGGGGGGCGCAGCCAAGAGCCGCAGAGACCATGTGAATGAGTCCGATGGGGGGCGCAGCCAAAAGCCGCAGAGACCTTGTGAATGATGAGATTAGGGGGCGCAGCCAGTGGCCGCTGAACACTGTAGGCGACCCTGCTTGTCCACGCGAGGAGCTTCCACATCACATGGGCCAGTGAGAGATCGCGGGTGGAGCGGTGCTTCGACCCTCACCTGCTGTCGTACAATATGCTATTGAAAGAGGTGGAGCGCTGGAGGTGGGTTATTTCAGCCACCAGTCCCTGTCGTCCAAACAGGGACTACTGGTGGTGATACGCGAAGCCTCAAGAATTAGGCTCAGGGGGGGGCGTTTGGTTCGAGGTTGAATGTTTTCGGGCATGTTCGCAGGCTGTTTTCCAGCCTCGGGATGCGTTCCGGCGGCTGCGCCTCGCCGAGGGCGTTGTGGGGGTGGTCAGATCGTCCCGAACTGCCGCCAGAGGCCCGAATGATGACCCGGAAGCCAGACGACGAGGATCAACTGGGAGGGGGATTGGGAGAGGGCCCCGACTCCGGCGCCGCCTTCCTTTGGGCGATGTCCTAAGCAGGGCGAAAATGTTTGCCCTACTTTTTAAGGCCCCTTTGATGTCGATTTCCACCCATGTAGCCATCGCTATTTCCGCCACACCTCTGCTGAAATAGACCCCTATTTTCTAAGGCGGAAATATGATACCAGAGAAAAACCCCAAGCATAATCTTTTTAGGGCTGTACAGCTATAGGGCTACAGGGTTACATGGGCTCTTGGGCGCTATATGGGCTATATGGCTATATGGGTTATAGGGCTGTAGGGCTATAGAGCAATAGGGATATAAGGCTATAACGCTATAGGGCTACAGGGCACCGGGCACCCGGGCACCCGGCACCCGGGCACCCACCTGGGCACCGCGGGCACCCGTCACCCGGGCACCCACCTGGGTACCGCGGGCACCCGTCACCCGGGCACCCGGGCACCCGGGCATCCGGGCACCCGTGCCCGGCCACCGAATCGGCGGCGAACCCGGGCACCCGGGCACCCGGGCCCGGCCACCGAATCGGCGGCGAACCCGGGCACCCGGGCACCCGGGCACCCGGGCCCGGCCACCGAATCGGCGGCAAACCTCACCTACCTTTCAATCCGCTAGGACCCCTACAGAGGCAAGCTCTGATTGGGGAATATGCCGTACTTTTCACGTCGTTTGGGATGCACTTCCGAACACAATCTTCGGGAACGTCAAACACGATCAGGAACGAAAGTGGTCAAGAGCTCCCGGGGACTCCCTGTTCAAAAATCTAGACATGGGAAGCCTGGGGGGGCGGCTCACTCAGCCTCTGGAGCGTGGTTCGGAGGTCCACGGTGGGCGAGAGCGTGGCCTCTGAGACCACTGGAACCGGGGGAATCGCGCTTGCTCGAGGCGGTATCGCCAACTTCTCTGCTTCTCTTCCTCATGCCCCTTCTGCAAAGATCAGTCGATTGTGATTCCACTTCAGTCGGGGGCCCGCGTCGGTAACCACGTGGCACCGCCCGCCACACTCCGGAGAGATCGCCCTGATCCGCTTTTTGGCTGCGGAGTGGAGCTCTTTGTCCAGCATGGCGGTGGGCACGAGGCAAGAGTTTCTGTTGGCCTCGACGGCAGCGCCAAACAGGAGCCTTGTCCGAGGCGGCCTCGTCAGCTGCACCCGTGGGAAGAGCGGCGCGCAGGCGAGCCCGACGGCACCGACGGCCACACACTGAAGGGGCGTAGAGAACGCTCGAGAACCCGTGGAGGAGGAGAAGGAGGAGAAGGAGGAGGAGGAGGAGGCGGAGGATCGAGAAGCATTGAGGAGGAGGATCGAGAAGCATCGAGGAGGAGGAGGAGGAGGAGGAGGAGGAGGAGGAGGAGGAGGAGGAGGAGGAGGAGGAGGAGGAGGAGGAGGCGCGCGCGACTCCAGCGTTCACGCTTCGCTCCGCTCCGCCCCGTGCCGCCTGCGGCCCCAGAGGCCGCCCGCCGCGTGGCCGCAGCCTCCCTGGCGTTGGCCCGCGGGGCCCGCCTTCCCCAGGGGCCTGCCCTGCAGGCTCGGTCCGCAGCCCTCCTCCTCCTCCTCCTCTTCCTCCTCCTCCTCCTCCTCCTCCTCTTCCTCCTCCTCCTCCTCCTCGATGCTTCTCGATCCTCCGCCTCCTCCGCCTCCTCCTCCTCTCCTCTTCCCTCCTCCCCTCCTCCTCCTCCTCGATGCTTCTCGATCCTCCTCCTCCTCCTCCTCCTCCTCTCCTCCTCTCCTCGATGCTTCTCGATCCTCCTCCTCCTCCTCCTCCTCCTCCTCCTCCTCCTCGTCGTCTGCCTCCTCCTCCTCCTCCTCCTCCTCCTCGCTCGCCCGTGCCTAGCTGGGCATGGCGTGGAGGCCGCGGCCTCGAAGGTGTGAGCTTCGCGCCTGCCCGTCTGCTTCGGCGAGGCGCGCCTGCCGAGGAAGAACGCGCGTGGCCTGGCGCGTAGCCTTGTGGAGCTAGAGGAATGACAAGACTGCATTTCGTCGGAAGGATTAAAAAGGACTAGGGCGGTTACGCCGGAGTGGGCCTCGGACTAAGCCGGATTAAGCGGGATTACATGGAATTAAATGGGATTAAGCGGGATCAAGCCGGATTTCGGACCAGGGGAAGATCAGAATTTGACTTCCCAGGAATTGCATCCGAACGTACGCGCAAAGAGTTGGAGGTCCGCGCGGATTTCTCAGATCGCTGGGCCCCTTTCCCTGGCGCGCGGAGCGCGCCAGGGGCGGCGCCAGAGGCGCCGCCAAGCGGTCCCGGGCGCCGATCCGAGAATTCCGCGCGGACCTGAGAAAGCTGATGCTTGTGCATCTCTGCTCCCCGAGGAACGTGTCCGCAGCCTCGAGGAGGGCCGACATCGGGGGCCCGCAAACAATGGATTAGCGATCCGTGGATTTGGCGCGCAGTAGCCAAACCCATGGATCGGGGGAGGTGCCCTCCCCAAAATGCGGCCAGGGCCGCCTGGCTCGGCGGCGGAAATGCGCGATTTCCCATGGAAACGGGACCCGTCGCTAACCCACGCTCCCTTCATCCATGTTTGCGATCGCCTGACGAAGAGGGGGACCGCTGTTGCCCCGACGGGCCCTCCCCCCGAGAGGGGGCCCCGCGGCCGCCGGCCGTCGGCCGGGCGGTGGACGGCGCCCCTCTGCGCCCGCCAGCCTGGGCCCCCCCAGGTGGGCCGAAGACCTCCGGCAGAGCACCCTGAAGTCGGACTCGACGGGGCAGGACACGCGAGGAGGACACGAGACCCTCAGGGGACCACATGCGAACCTTGGCCCTACCCCGCCCTCCCCCTCAGAAGTCGTGGGGGGCACAATCGGACTTTATTGGATTGGAGAGGACACCCGAGAGGACACAAGACCCTTCCGAGGGCCACGTTGCCACAGAAATGCAGGAGGCATGGGTCGCAAGACACAGGACACGAGGGTACCCTTGATCTGGCAGGGTCGACCTACTAATCCGGGCCGCCTGTAGAGGTAGGGTTCGCAGGTGGTCCCCTAACCCTTCCGAGGGCCACATTGCCATAGGAATGTAGACGGCAGGGGTCGCGAGACACGGGACGCAAGGGCGCCCTTGATTTGGCAGGGTTGACCTGCAGCAATCCGGGCAGACTGTAATGGCAACCAGGGTGGAGAGGTGGGTCGAGGCTTCACTCGAGGGGGCAAAAAGCGGCATTAGATAGCATGCTCCGCCGTCGGGGACGCCTGCCCCAAGGCGACTGGAAAGTTTATACCCCCATGGTGGCAGGAACACTGCAACCGTCCAGGCGCAAGCATCCCCGACGGCGGACCAAATTGTGTTACGGTCGGACCTAAGACAGAAGAGCATCCTTCAAGAACATGAAACCCTCCGCCCGCCAAATTAAAGAACGTTCGAGGCGACCCTTCCCAGGATACACGGGAATATCCCAAACACACGCACACACGAAGAACATGGGGGTACCCTTCCGAACATCCCCGACAGCGAACCAGTTTATGTTATACCACGCCGCGCGCCGCGCGGCCCGCAGCGGCCCCAAGGCCGGCGGCGGCGGCGACGGCCGAACTGCCGCGCGGGGGCCGCGCCTGCAGCGGGCCGTCGGGCGGTGCCCTGCTGATCCTGCGGGCGCGCGCCCGCGAAAGGGGGAGGGGGCGGGGCCGCGACGGGAAGAGGGGTGGAAAGGGAAGAAAGCATCTAGGAATGACAGACGCAGCACTGCAGGGAAAACGAACAACAACAACGACAATCATGACCACAAGACAGCAAATTCCGCAAACGCAGCAAGAGGGAACACGCGTAAAACAAAGCCACATATCAAAGGTGGAGACAATACTTACAAACCAAATCAGCCGACGTTTTCTGGTGGAGCAACTTCCGAGACTCTGCGACTTCCAAGAACCAGCACCGCGCTTTGGATAAGCTGGCGCGAAACACACAAGTCCTCGGGGGGAACGTACACCGTTCAACGCGTGACGAACACACGCACACACGCGCGCACACACACGCACACGCGCTTTCTGAAAAAACAGATGCCCGTCGGAAATGCTCAGAACTTCGAGTTGCTACCAGTTCCACGTAACGCGACCCGCATCTAGCTCTTTGCTTGTCACTGGCCCCTTACAAACCTCGTCACAATATCGGAGGTTGGGGGGTGAGATCGCAGTGGAACGGAGACCCCCAGACGGAAAATCGTTTCGTTTCGTTCGTGTCGTGCGTGCGTGCGGGGCGAAGCAGCGTGGGCGCGCGAGACGAATGAACCCGCTGCTGCAAAGGCGAAGTCAAGACAAAAGATGCTCCCCCTCCCGCCCGTCCTGCGGTGGCCCGCGGTGTCCCGTGGTGTCCCCTGGTATCCCGTGGTGTCCGCCGTTACTAGGGCGAAGTCAAGACAAATGAGTCTCCCCCGCCCGCCCCTCCGTCCGTCCGTCCGTCCGTCCGGGGGTGGCTCGCGGTGTCCCGCGGTGTCCCGTGGTGTCCCGTTGAGTGAGATCGATAATGGGATCGATAGTGACATCGATGGTGAGATCGATAGTGAGATCGATAGTGGGATCGATACTGAGATCGATGTGGTGCCCCGAAGCTTCCCGTGGTGTCCCAAAACATGACATCGATAGTGAGATCGACTGTGAGATCGACTGGTGTCGCGCGGTGACCCAAAAAGTGAAATCGATTGTGATATCGAGAATGATATCGATACTGAAATCGATGTGGTGTCCCGTGGTGTCCCAAAAAGTGAGACCGATAGTGATATCCATCGTGGGATCGACAGGTATCCCGTGGTGTCCCGTTGAATGAAATCGATAGTACTATCGATATTGATACCGATAGAGAGATCGATGTGGTATCCCGTGGAGTGAGATCGATAGTGAGATCGATAGTGGGATCGATGTGGTGTCCCGTGGTATCTTATGGTGTCCTGTAGAGTGAGATCGATCGTGAATACGATAGTGAGACCGATAATGAGATCGAGAGGTGTCCCGCGGTGTCCCGTGGTGTCCCGTTGAGTGAGATCGATAGTGAGATCGACAAGTGTCCTGTGGTGTCCCGTTGAGTGGGATCGATAGTGAGATCGATTGAGTCAGATGCTGTTTCCCCCCCTCCCCCCACACACAACCTCCTTATCACCCGAAGGGTGGTCGTATAGGTATTGAAGCGCCGCTCAGATCGAAGCGCCCGACGCCTCGGGCACTTGTCAGAAAACGCGTTCGTCGATGCTGCGCGGTCACTGCCGGATGTCAGACACCCCCACCCATGCGCATGGGCCACGCGCTTTATGTCGCAGCGCGGCAGGGGCAGTCCGCGCGCGAGCGCTCGGGCAAATCGGGAAACGGCGTCGCCAATTATCCGGCAGCGAGAGCGGGGAACAAAAAGGGCGAGGAGGAAGCGGCCGCGGGCGAAGGGGGGGAATGAGAGCGCACGCGCGGCGGGGACCGCTGCGGAGCAGCCGCGGCGGCCACCAGGCGCCGCAGCCCTGGCAGCGGGCGCGGGGCGGCATCGCGGCCGCGCCCAGGGTCTGGGGCAGAGGCAGCAGTGCGCGAAGCGGAAGTGCAGGAGAGCAGAGCCGCGGCATCGATATTCTGGCGCAGCGGAACAGGTGGCGGCGCTCCAGGCGGCAGAATGCGGCGGGACAGGTGCTGGGCGGGCTGCGGTCTTTTAGCCTACGCGGAACAGCAAATGGAAATTGCTCCTCGCTCGAGCCGCCCGCGGAGCCAGAGGAACGCCGACTGCCTGGCACGCGCGGAAGACCCGTTCAGCAGCGAGCTTCCAGAGGAGCTGAAGGACAGCGCCGAATCCGATTATCGGGACACCCCGCGCCTGGACGTCGCCCGCCTCCGCGCCGGGCACAGCAGCAGCGCGCTGCGCCGCCGCGGCGCGGGAAAACATGCGCGCGGGCGCTCCTGCGGTGGAAAGCACGTTTCCGATCTTCCAGATATTGGAGTGGGACTCGCGGGGCGCGTCGATGTTCCCGCCTGCCTCCGCCGAGCGCACGAAACTCCACATCTTGTGGCCCGCCCCGATACATTCGCCTTGTCCCACTTGATGACTTGCGAAATTCGCTGGCCCGCCGGGCCGTAGGCGTGCTATGATCTCCGGTAACTGGTTAACAATATTTCTAGTTCGCGCGCGCGGGGCCGCCCCTGGAGGTCCCCGGGCGAAAAGTGCCCTGGTGAAGTCCTGGCCGCGGCCCAAGACGCCGAAGATGGCCTGCAGACAGCCTGGAGCGCCTTCCAGAAGACTTCCCAAAAAGGCCCGCAGAGGCAGACATTGTGATTTCCCAGCAATTTGTTACAGTTTTTGGCGTTCTTGCCTCTTCGGTTTGCCGGGGCGGTCAGGCGGCCTAGGAGGCTTCCAGGATCGCCCCGGCGCGGCCCGACGGGCCTCCGAGAACGCCCAAAACGGCCCTGGAGGGCCCCAGGACAGCCCCAGAGGCCTCCTAGACGGCCGAAGAGGCTCCCACGGCAGTTCCAAGAGCGGGCCCAGACGGGGGGGCCGAACGGACGCGTCGAACTCTGGGCGCAAAGAGGCGAGGGCCCAAGAAGCTCCCGGGACGCCCCCAAGAGGCCACCGAGAGGCCCCAAGAGACGCCCAAGAGGCCCCCAGGAGGCCCCCGCGACGCCCCGGCCCCAAAAATACCGACAAGAGGCCTGAGAAGGAGCTCCAAGAGGCCCCCAAACGGCCTCCAAAAGACCACGAACGCGCGGACAAACGCCCGCGATGGCACAATACGGGCTGGCGGAACGAGCGAAGCGATTCAATGAGACATTACACTTGGGCTGAAGATCGACGCGATCGCGGAGCGCAGGCTAGCGGCCAAAGCGTCCACCTCTTTCTTCCTCGTGAAATCACAAATCATATTGACTGTCGTTCGGCTTGTCAGGGTCAATATCCATAGCTACGTTGTCGACAAAGCTGATCTTCGCGTCGCCGTGCTGAAGGTTCCAACTGTATGTAGGCTTGCCTGCGCTGCCCTCGTCGACCCCCTTGCCGGCGTCGACGCCGTCGCGGACAGTGGCCCGGCGCGCGGTCACAGAAAATCGCAAACTAGCACAGGTGGTGCCGCTCAAACATCGGCTGGCTCGTCAAGCTGAACTCCAAGAGTATGAAATTCGCAATCGCGAGCCGAGTAGCCGCGGTCGTCGCCATCCGATTGCGGCGCTCGCCGAGGCCATCGTAGGACGCCCTGGCCACAGCGAGCGCGACCGCGCCAGGCGCGGCAAAATCGCCGGCAGCCGCCGCGCCGTATCCCCCTGGCCCGTTCTCGCCGCTCCTGTCCGTGAGATCGATATCCTCGTCGGCGCCGGCGCTGACCGTCGGGGACACGCTAGCAGAGATGACCATCGAGATCACCACGATGGCGCAGCGCTTCGACGCCCCCCTGCTTCGCGACGCGGCCGCGCCTCGCCGTGGCGACGCAGACGGCGCGCGCGGGAAAAAGCAGGCTGCGGGCAGCAATGGCAAAACCAGCAAAGCCACAAATGGCAAAAGCGCTGACCGGGCGGTCGGATCTTGAGCTGCGGGGCTACGGTCATCGCGCGGGCCACGCACCTCGCGCCGGCGCTGGGGTCGCGACGACCGCGCGCGCGCCGACAACAGAAACCGTCAATTTAATGATGACGAGTCTTGTGGGACCCTCGCTCGCGGCAGGCCCCTCCCCCTCCCCCCCCCTCCTCGCCCCCCCCCTCCTGCGGTCGTGCCGATCGAGCGGGTTCGGTTGCTCTAAACTGCTGCCACTGCTACTGCTACTGCCATTGCTCCTACCACGGCTGCCACTGCCGCTGCTCGGCTGGCGGCGGCGCGGGGGGCCCGCGCAAAGCTCGCGCCCGGGGCTTCGCGGGCGCGCGCGATCCGAGAGCAGGGCGACGGTGGTGGAGAGAGCGGGGGCAAGGCAACGGCGTCGGCAGCGTCGAAAGGGCGGACGGGCTGGGGACAGGCCAGACAGTAGAGCCGGTTTGGCGCGACCGTAGAACGGAAATTCCGGCGGGGGGGAGGGGCGAGAAAAACGAGCCTGTGAATAGGGCGCTGGGCGGAGCTGGATTGCTGGAGCAGGCGCCCGAGCATGTGCTGAACGCGAGGACAACGCGTATAATGCGACTGCTTATCTTCATCCACTCATCCGGAAATGCATCTGACATTCTTTTCGAAGCGAGAGCCTGAGCACCGAACTCCCATCCAGGTCTCGCAGAACAAAATCCCCCGGCCGGGGGGGGCAGAGCAGGGTCGCCCCTTGGACGCGCGGCCGCGGCGCTCTCGCCACGGCAGATCCGCTCTGAGGATGCAAGCGGAAGGGCCGAGCGGAGAAGGACCGACAAAGAGAGGGGGGGGAGAGGTGAAAGGACGAAAAGTCATGCGTAGCTCGCTATACAAGCCTCGAATGGCCACTTCAACGGCGACGCCCCCAGCTCTCTCCCAGCGGGGAAAGGGTGGAAATCCGCAGGCGGCATCCCGGAGCTCCACGGCCAAACGCGGGGGGGCCCAGAACTTGGAGCAAAAACGGCCAGGAACGAAAACCCAGAGCCCCGTGCAATCTCGACCCCGAGACGCCAGAGGAGTGGAAAGCTGCGCCCGCATCGGCCGAGTTTTGATGGCGGTGCGAACTAGAGCAGCGAGGGCGGTCAGCATTGCACTGCGGGCCCAGCCCCCCCCCCCCATCCACCGCTGGAGGCAGGGCCAGTTGGCTCTCGAGAGGCAGCAGTGTGGCACTCTGGACATAGACTCGAGCAGTCGATGCTCAGTCGCAACAACCTTTTTCCGTGGCAGCATCTGGAAGTGGCCCACATGCGACATGGTCGAGAGCGCTCTGCCGCCGCACGTGCTGGCGGCGAGGGAGGAGGGGGGGGCTCCGACAGAAGCGATCGACGCCGTTCTGCTGGACCACGCGACAAATGGTCCGCGCCGCGAGCTCCGCCCCGCACCTGGCCCTAACAGTGAACCGAAGTACTTGAATTTACTGACTACATGGAATCGGGCCAATCTGGGAATGTTGACCGCAATCCATTCGGAATGTGCTCGCTTGACTTCTGGTGGGAAATCCAAGCATTGGAACCGCGCAACACTTGCCTACCTTAAGATGGAGGCTCGCAACTCCTTAGAGCCGCAATCTGAAACAATCTCACGACGTTGTCGATGCTTTTCCCCAGCATCAAGGGGGCGAATGTACCCCCAGCCCACCAGGGAAGGAGCCGCCAGGAGACGACCTGGTGATCACCCCCCGAAACTTCCGTGCTGGCCGTCGCCTCGGGAAGCGGGAGCTGAGGCAGAAACGGCCGCGCACGGGCCGTATGTGAATCCCTCGCCGCATCTACGCGCGCGTCGCGGCGCGAAGCAGGGGGGGCGGGAGGGCGATTGCGCGTTCTGCGACGCGGCCTGCGCCCTGTGAGGCGTCCTGCCACGAGACGGCAGGAAAGTGCGAAGCAGGGCGCCATGTGAGACGCCCTGCGACGCAATGCGCCCTGTGCGGCGCCCTGCCAACGGACGGCAGGCACTCGGCCCCGCGGGGACGTGACCCCCCGAGCCTTAGCCCAGCGGCACAGTAGGCGCCGACGAAGCCGGGTAAGGCCGCCTGCGGACCATTGCCAGCACAGTAGGCACTGGCAATGCTGATCGTGTCCCTGATGTCCGAAGCATCTGCGTCTCTAGATCGCCCATTATCCGAAAAGCTTCGCCTTCCTCCTAATAGGATCAATCTCACGACGTTGTCGATGCTTTTCCCCAGCATCAAGGGGGCGAATGTACCCCCAGCCCACCAGGGAAGGAGCCGCCAGGAGACGACCTGGTGATCACCCCTCGAAGCAGGCCCCCTTGAGGCGGTGTTCCGCGAAGCGGTGTGTGTTGGGAGCCGGCGGTCTTTTTCCCTTGCGGGCCTCCGACGAGCGCACGGATGCCGTCTTCTCTCGCAAGCGTTGGGTCGGCCGGTCCGTCGTCTGCTCTGCAGAAGAGGCTGCTAGGCTATCGACGAAACGCTGCATTAGCGCATCTGGGGATGTGTCGGCGTACGTATGACGCATGACGTCCTCCGAATTCCACCCACCTTGCCGTTGGACCACGTGCGGGGGGATCTTTGCTACGTGCGTGAACCATTCTGTTCCGCCTCTACGAAACGAGTGCGTGCTAGCGGCTGGGTCCGTAAAGTGTGACGAAACCGCCTTGCGCCACGAATCCGCGCTAACAGGCTGGAGTTGGGAACCTGTCGTGGCGCAGAATAGGGAAGGCACGTGAGCTGCCGTCGCGGCTTTCCAATCCATCCAATATTGCAGGAATTTCGCCGGGGATAGCCCAGCAATAACCTTGAACGGAATGAAACACCATTGGCCTTTGCCACACGGGTCGTTCTTCTGTTTCCTGATGAAACAACACGCGCACGAGGCTTTAAAATGCGCGTCCTGAGCGCGGAGGTTGATCGCCTCCGAAACGCGGCGCAAGCCGAAAAAGCAAAACGACGCGAAAGCTGCATCCCTCCGCCCAGCCGGCGTGCCTGTTGCCGCCCTGGCCGTGCAAAACAGCGCCCACTCTTCAACACTAATCGCACGTTTTTGGTGCGATGCGTGGGATGCTCTCTTTTTCAGGCCTCGCCAAAAATGCAAAGCCCGATCGTCCCAGCAATCGTCGAAGACCTGGCTGTAGTTGTTGCTCTGGTGCCACGCTCTGACGGCTGCTTTGTTGAGGCGTATGGTTTGCCATGCCATGCCGTCCATGCTGGCGAACAGGAGCATGAGCTTATCCGGGGAATCCAACGGGGGGATGTTGGAATCGACCTGCCGTTCGAAGCCGTGAACGTGCACGGACAACGCTCGGCTGTACGTCCGGATCGCGCTTTGCTCCCACCCGGCTCGCAGGATGTCTTGCGCGGTGTCCATGAGCGCGGCCCGTGCGGACAATGCCCCTGTCTGCGTGGATGTTTGCAGAACGTCGCCCCGAACCGGCGCGAACTGGAGGGCCACGTCGCCCGCGGCAGGGGCGCCGACAAGTGCCCGCGGCCCTCCGGTCGCGGGGCGGGCCAGCAAGGCAGGCGCATCCAAGGCCCTGGGTCGAGGCCGGACGGCCCACCGACTATCGGGCAACGGTGCTGAGAGCAACTCAACACCCCATGGCGCCGGAGAGTTTGGCTGGCCAGACAGTGGCGCGCTCAACAAGTGCATGTCAAGGTCTTGAGCCGGGGCGGCTGCAGGGGCGAGGGGGGCGGGGGGAGGGAAGGAGGCCAAGGGCGGGAGAAAAGGGCGGAGGTGGGAAGACGGCCCTGGGCTGGAAGACGGCGCTGCGTCGCCTGCGTCTTTCAAGGAAGCCGCGCTCTCGCTGTGCCTCGCGAGCGCTTTCCGGGGGCATCAGTGCCGACGGGGAGTGTCCCCTGGAGCGGACCCGCCAGCGACTTCGCCCAGAACGTTTTCTGGAGGCCTAGCCATGAGTCGGCCGCCAGAAGCCTCGAGGAGCGGACCCACACGGGCCTGATTACCTGTCGGATTCCACCACAACTGCTGGCTACCTGGGATCCCGGCCCGGATCACGAGCGGGCCCGCCGGCCATGTCCAAGGCGTTTTCTGGAGATCCGTAAAATTAGTGATAGTTTTTGAGTGGAGCCCCGGTGGGCCCGCCTCCTCCTTCCTGGCACCACAGCCCCGCCGGGGCCGCGTGGCATGGGCACCTGTGCAAGCCTGTCCACAAGGCCGATTGTCCGCCCGTGTCTCGTAGACCACCCCGCTCCCGGTATCTCTCTCGCTCCCCCCCCCTCACGTTATCTCTCCCTCTCTTATACATATATGCGTGCATGCGCATGCGTGAAATGAGCAGACAGCGAGAGAGAGAGAGAGAGAGAGAGAGAGAGAGAGAGAGAGAGAGAGAGAGAGAGAGAGAGAGAGAGAGAGAGGGAGGGAGAGAGTCGCCGTGAAATTTGGCCAAAAGGGTGGTCCACGGGAGTCCCACGGCAAAGGCTTCTCGTTACCTTGCATCGGAAATCTGCGGCGGCGCACTCGGCGCGCGCGGGCGCGCGACCATCTCTGCTGCGTGTCAGGCAGGGTTCCGACGAACAAACAAACAATGCCACAGCGCTGGCACCTGGCGGGGTTCGCCGTAGGCCTGCGGGTGTTATAGGCAAGCGCGTGACTGGCAAGAACGGGGTCTGGGCCCTCCCCCGCAAAGACGACGACGTCTGACCAGAGGGGGGGCCTGGAAACTTCCCCCCGCCCAAGCGATGCTGTTTTTTCCTCGCGGTCCGCCTGCCAGGGCCGAAGTGGTTCGTCTGCAACTGGCCCAAGCGCGCAGGCTGTATCTGAACGAGCGTGCACGAATAGCACGGGGCACGTTCGCCCGCATGGGGCAGGGAAGCCGGCTCGCGGATTATGACATACAAGATGCCACGCGAAAGGCCTCTCTGCAGCTGTCACCGGCACGGCTGCGGGCTCACCAGGCTACCCGGCCAGCCAAGCGAGCGGGAGATGGGACAGGGGAGATAATCAGAGAAGGGGCGAGGCATGCCGCTCGGTTTGCCGGAGGGCTGCGCGCTCGCGCGCGGCAGGCGCATTAGCTTCTGCATTCCTCCTGCCAGTGGAATGCCACGATCCCTTTCTGTGCGCAGCGGCTGCACGGAGTGGCCGGCACGCCGCCCTCTTGCCTGCACTGGGCCCGGCTGTGCTGGGCGAGCTTCCGGCTCCCGAGCAAACAGTGGCGGCAATAGGTGCCCATGATGGACCTGATCGCCTCCTTGTCGTCCGGCGAGCCCTGGTGCTTGGCGTCGACGAAAGCCTGCACGGCGGCCGGCTGCTGCCTGCCCGCCTTCCCGAGCTCCGACAACATCGCCGTCACGTTGGCCTTCTTGTGGTTGTTGTTCCCGCCTTTGCCGGTGCCCGGCGCCTGGGGTTTGCCGCCCTTGCCGGTGTTCTGGCCGAAGGAGTGCGGCTGGTTCTGGTGTTGCTGCGGGAGTCCCTGCTGCGGCGCCCAGCTGCCCTTGCCCCCCGGCGCCCCACCGCCGCCCTGGGCTGGGTCTGCACGCAGGCGCTTGTAAGCGGGCCCACCCACCGCGCCCGGCGCGCCCTCGGGGGAGCCGGAATTCACGACTGCCGTGACGGCGGGGCCGGGCGGAGCCATCACGAAGGGAGCGACGGCGAGGCGCGAGAGGCCCAGAGACCAGTCCAAGCTGAACTCGGAGCGCAGCATGATGTGCTCCAGGCTGTTCCGTGCCGACGCCTTCTTGGCCTTGCGGCGCATGGCTTTGAGGGTAACGAACAAGAGAGGCATAATCTCGTTCCTCTGGGCGGTCAACTTGGCGGCCGAGGTCGGCTTGGCCGTGGCTGCGTTCACGTGCTGGTTCTCGAGCAGGAGGAAGAAGCCCAACGCCTTCCTGGCGATGGCGGCGACAACCTTGTCGTCCCGGGCCGCCGCCTTGTCCGACATGAACGCACGAAAGCGGTCTGGACTGCCGCCGAACGACGACAGGCACAGCTCCCTCAAGGTGGTCTTGGGGGCGCTGCGCAGACCGATCGCGTCTTTGATCTTCTGCGCCTCCGGGTTGTTCGGGTTGGCCATGCACACGGATGCGGCGTTGACAATTGCTGGGTCTGCCATCTGCGCAGAGACGTTGGCCAGCCAGTATTTGTCCACGAACAGACGGTTCCACCCGGCCAACCACTCCTGCGCGTCTGTGGACCGCTCGACCTCGCGCCACGAGAAAGCCGCGTCCAGGTCAGCCTCTTGCTTGCTAGCCTTGGCTACGAACTCCTCGCAGGCTATGACGCGCTGCTCGAGGGAAGCGATCACCGTGTCGGTGTGCCCGTTCTGCGTCTCGAACGTCTCCGCCGTTGCCTTGATCGCCGTGGGAATCTCCCCGACGTCCGAGGCCACGTCCGCTTGCAAGACAGATTTTACTGCCTCGGCGAACGCTGCTTCCAAGGCACCGCCCTGCCGAATGGCTGTTTTGAACCACTCCGTCGCCTCCGCCTCGCCGAAGGCGCTTGGCTCGACTGGCGCAGCCATGGCCGGGGCGCAGCCGGGCAGTTGCGGCAGAAGAGGGAGGATGACTCGACTCAGAAGTGCAGTGCGCTGACTGCGACGTCAGCTTGAGCCTGCGCGGCTGCGTCGATGACGGGATCGACATGACCCGCGCAGTCGGACTGAGCGAGGAGACCGCGAGATGGACAGAGGACGAGAAGCAGCGGAGAATGCAAACGGACGGACGAGTACACGTTGGAATGTTTTCCCGAACGGCCCAAGAGCAGGATGGGCAGATCCGTGGCTGAGGCTCTGACCCAACCGCCGTCCGGACGCGGCGTGCGGAACAGATTTGATCCGGATTGCCAGCGAGCAAGCCTACGCCACTTGTTAAGCTGCCAGGATCGGAACCAAGGTGCTCCGGTGTCCTCTGGCACATCTAAAAAAACAGCGCGGCACTTGCCTTCGGCAAGTGCCTTGGACAGGAACGACATGGCATGCCCTGCCAAGGCACGGGGCGGGTGTGCCCAGACCTTGTTTCCTAACACGTGCGCCTCAAACGCGGTGTTCTCGGGGCGAAACCAGAGCGGCGCTTTCGCGGTGACCCCCAGCCAGTCCGCGAAAAGATCGCAATCACATGGGCCGAATTCGTTGGTGATGCGGTCCATCACCGACGCTTTCAGCACAGCCTCGCGGAAAGGGTCTGCATTCCATCGAGACGCAAATGCTGAGTCTCGGGAACCGGAATCCGAGATGACATTCGCTGCGCCCGCCAAGTGCACGGCCAAACACCAGCACCCGGCCGAGCGTTCTGCATGCTCGAATTCCTCGGCCAACTGCACGAGGTGCGGCATGCGACCGAAGCGGAAGTTCACGCAATGGATGGCGGCCGTGTTATCAATTCGAAACACGACGCGCCATCCGCGCAACCATTCGGGTTCTGCCTGAACGGCCTGGACCGCGACCCACAACTCTGTAAAATTTATCGCGTCTGCGTTGTCTGCGAGATCTGCGAAACCTGCCGGCCAAACGCCGGACCTGACCACGCCAGCGCCGCACAAATTATATGACCATCCGCGCAGCTTGCTGGCGTCAGTTTCTATGACGCGCAGGCAGCCGGCAGCCGCCAAGCGACGCCAATATTGGAACTCGGGGGATTTCGGCCCAAAGCGAAAGCTGCCCAGCTTCACCGTGCAGCGGTCGCTCCGGGGTGCGGTCCAGAGCGCGGTGCCACCACCTCAAAGCTTCGCGCGCGTCGGGGCTCAAGTGGACAACGGGGTTCGCCGCTGGGCGGCGAGCCCACAGCGCGTACACGTTTGCTGCGTTCAGCGACGCCCAGACATGATACAGTCGCCGCCTGCCTTGCAGGAACACCTCCGCAATATGGTTGGCCAGACCGGCGGTGGCTGCGAGGTCTCGCGCCAGCAAGGTTCCGTCTGAATATGCCTGCAGGGCGGCGAGAATGAGGGCTTGGCACTTGTCGCACTTTTTACGCTCAACAGACAGCGTGTTGTTCAGAGTGTCGAACACCCATCCTACCCACGTCTGGACTTGAGAGGGCGGCCGGATGCCGCCTTCTTTTGCAGAGATCGGGACGCCAATCTTCAGGAAGAACCGAACGACGCGCTCCAGCTCCAGCCACGCGTCCTCCTCGGAAGATTGTGCGCCCAGATTGTCGTCTACGAAATCTGTAAGCACGGCGTTCTCGCGCAGCTGCAACAGCCGCAATAACTCCTTCAAACTAGAATCGTTGATGGAAGGTGCTGTTTTTAGGCCGAACGGCAGGAATGTGCACATGCCGTACTGCTGTCGCCCCGGGGACCAGAAACCCAGCCACCACGCATCGGAAGGCAAGACGCGCCAGTTGCAGAACGCATCCGCCAAATCCACAACGTACAAAAAGCTCCGCGGGGACATGCGCGATATCGCCAGATCAACCGTCCCGTAGTTCACTGGGAGGTCGGGCAAGGAGGTGTTCAAGCTGCTCCGGGAAAGGTTCATGATAATACGAACTTTGACCCTCTCCTCTTCTGGCGCGTTGTCTCTGGCGCCCGCCCGCGGCTTGACGATAGCCGCACACGGGTTGACATGCAATTGTGCGGGTCGACGAGTGCCTGGAAGAAAGGTAACTTTTCCCAACCGTTCCAGACGTGACCATTCCAAATCAGCGAGCCGAGCGTGATGCGACAGCGACGGGTGATTGGGAAAAGCTTGTGGTGTGAGCCCCCTGTCAACTTGAAGGCAGCAGCCGTTTTCCCAACGCTCCAGAAAAGCAGCCGAAGCACCGAGCTCCTTGAGCAGATCGACATTCAGCCGTAAGCCCGCGATGCCGCCTACCCAGATGGCCTGCGCGTCTGCCACGCGCACCTCCCACAAGAGCCGCTGCAAGCGGTCGGTGCCATGGTGAAGAGACATGCCGGGAGGGCGGAACAACGGACACACGGGCTGCGCCGAGTTTGAGCCCTGTGTGTACGGACTCCCCCCGTGCAAGGTGTGACTGGCGAGCGCGCGCGGAGTCTGCGGCGACCGCCGGTGGACATTGGGGCCGCCCATAGCCACCTGGGAGGCCGCGGGCAGCCCGGAGAACTGGACCAGCGAAACACTAAGCGCCGCTGGCCAAGCCCCCCAGAAAACTGGGCGACGTGCATCCGTATTTTTCGGCGCCCGACGGTGGAACAGTAAGCGCCACCAGCGGGGCCGCGCTACCAGGACAACAGCGCCCGTTGGCCACTGAGGGTCGCGCCTTGGCACGCGCCCAACGCGCCAAAAACTTGGGCGACCGAGCGCCCACCAGCGACGGCGCCCACTGGTGGGACAATAGGCACCACCAGCAGGGCCAAACAAAACCGCTCAAAAAACGCGACCGATTGCGAGCGTGATTTAGGACGCGGGGGAATCCAAAGGCAACGAAACTCGCCGGTGGGACAGTTAGCACCACCAGCCGGCCTGACCAGCGAAACAATAAGCGTTGCTGACTCCATGAGCCGTGCTCGCGCGCATGCACTGCACCGCGCGCAATGTCGAACTGCACGCGGCGTGTATAGAAGGCGGGGCCAGCGCGGGAAGGACAATAAGCACCGCCCGGAGCCCCTGGCCAGCGGAACAGTAGGCGCCGCTAGCCACTCGGACGAAGGCCAGGCCGACGGAGCAATAGGCGCCGCCAGCTGACCTTGTCTTGAGCAGTGGCTGTTTGAGCCGGCGAGACGCGCGGGGAGGACAGTAAGCACCACCCGCGGCGCCCATGGCCAGCAGAGCAGTAAGCACCGCTGGCCCCCTGGACGAAAGCCATGCCGACGGAACAGCAGGCGCCGCCAGCTGACCTTGTCTTGAGCAGTGGCGGTTAGAGCCGGCGAGAGGGAGGAGAGAGGGAGGGGGAGGGAGGGGGGAGGGGGAGAACGGAGGGCTCCTCAACTCCTTTGGGACGGGGTCGAGAGCTCGCCATGGGAAGCCGCCCGTTGAACGGTTCTCGCAGCGGCACTGGTGTTACGGCCAACCATCCCTCGAGCGAGCCTGGGGCGCCAGCAGCCAGTTCTCGCGACACCACTTCTCTTGCGGGTTTTCGCATCGGTACGGCCAACCATCCCTCGAGCGAGCTAGGAGCGCCAGCAGACCGGTCCTCGCGACACCACTTCTCTTGCGGCTCCCCATTCCCGCAGCGAGTTAAGCGGGCAGTCTCGGTAGACCGTTCTCTCTCCTCTCGGCCACTAGTCGGTCACAAACACATATGAGTATATGTATAACTCCACCCTCCGACCCCTCCTCCTCCTCGAAAGGGGGGGGGGGGGCGGGGAAAGGGAGAGAGTGTTTTGGAGGGGCCGATTGCGCGTTCTGCGACGCGGCCTGCGCCCTGCGAGGCGTCCTGCCACGAGACGGCAGGAAAGTGCGAAGCAGGGCGCCATGTGAGACGCCCTGCGACGCAATGCGCCCTGTGCGGCGCCCTGCCAACGGACGGCAGGCACTCGGCCCCGCGGGGACGTGACCCCCCGAGCCTTAGCCCAGCGGCACAGTAGGCGCCGACGAAGCCGGGTAAGGCCGCCGGCGGACCATTGCCAGCACAGTAGGCACTGGCAATGCTGATCGTGTCCCTGATGTCCGAAGCATCTGCGTCTCTAGATCGCCCATTATCCGAAAAGCTTCGCCTTCCTCCTAATAGGATCATTGCGCGACCCTTGCCGTCGGGGCACGCTCTCATACGACCGAGCTGGGGGGTCTGGGGGGTCTCCACGAGGGCCTCGAAGTGGCGCGAAGGCGTGGGAGCTCAGAGCGCGGATCGTACCTGACGCGGGGCGGCCTTGCACGATGCCCGAGGCGACGAAGAGGAGGAATTGCCTGTCGGAGCCGCAGATCCCAAGACTACACAGATCCTGGCAGATAATGCCCAAAAACCAAAACAGAGGCTCGGGGCTCTGGAGGGCCTTCAGCGCCGCAAAGATCCAGGCGCGGTTGATGGATGGGAGCCCAAGCCCGAAATCGAAGGCGGCCTGCGCTGGCTCGACCTGGCCCTCCATCGAGGTGGCCCTACTCATCGCATCTAGCACTGGAATGTTCTCGCCGAAGTTCCACGCGGGAACAAAGCCCCTCTGGTGCCAGCGGGTGATCTCGGGGGGCCTCCTGGACAGGGCCCGACAGCACGCGCTAGTATGAATCTTCATGTCGGCGCTATTGAGAGTCCCAGCGGCCGCGCTTGACTAGGATGTCTAATAACCGCCCGCCAGGTCGTCGTGGGCTTCGTCTCCTTCGGCCAGGAATGCGCCGCGAAGAGCGCTGCGCCCGCGAAGAAGCTTGCCCTCAAGCATCCAGAACAAGCGCATCACCCATGATGTTTTCTCCGCCAGGATGGTTCTTCCACGCAGCATGAGGAAGCTGGTCGGGCCCGCGGGCGCCATCGCCCAGAAACCTCATGCACCTCCAAATGTGCAAGATACTGGGCGGGGGTCAATCACTGAAGTCGGCTTGGAAGCCGGAACGCTCCGAGCACTGCTTGGCCGCGGCTTTGTCCGAGGCCTGCTCGGTAAAGACTGGGCCCCAATGCATCGCCAACAAGTCGAACGCGTCCGAAGGGTTGGAGAAGGCTTGGGAATTCGAATCAGGGTCGGGGGTGGGTCGGATTACTCCGAGGCGCAATTTCCTGTCGAACGGGGCCCACTTGCGCCCGCGTTTCTGCGGCCCTCTCATCCTCTGGCGACGCTTGGAAAGAGTGGGCTCTCGAGAGACGCCTTGCAGGCGGCGGGCGACTGACTTGCCCGGCCTGGAACAGCCCCCCGCGCGCGGCGCAAGTCGCCTCGCGGACGCCCGCGGGGTCGAGCAGGGCCGCGGACTCCGAATTTCCATCCAAGCCGAAAAAATACAAAACAAATCGCGCCCACGGTGCGAGCGCGCGAATGACTCCCTGAGCGAAGCGGACATCCCGTTGCCAGACGGCCCTGGAGATCGCGCGGGGGATGGTCAGACTGACGAGCGGCTCCTCGGGTCGGCCTCGGATGACTAATCGCATCTCGGGCACCTCGGGCTGCTTCGATCACGATGTCTTTGTGGAGGGAGAGCAGAAGAGGAGGGGGCAGGCCAGCAAGTCTCACCTGCTTGCTGACCCTGGCCACATTATCCGGATATTCGGGGCGCTAAGAAATGTCTGAGGGGGTGGCGCGGTCCTGGGGCACCGACGGCCTCAGTGAGGAGCCAAAGTACACGTGCCTCCAACGCGAAATATTTGTCTCGCGCATTACCTCGGGGAGCTCGTGGGCCCTAGCGCTCGCGCAGGACTGCGCGCCGCGCGCTCCCCTGGAGCAGACGCGAACAAACGACCGATGTCGCTGGGCGTGCCTAGCGCAGCAAGGTAGCCGGCGGGTTCGTCGAGCTCGACTCCGCAAAGCATCTTGAGACGCCTTTCCCAGGCGGGATCCACCGACGACCGCGACGATCTTCAAAGGGCTCCTCTTGGTCAACTCTAGGTCCTGGGAAATAGCCTCTATTATGAGGCCCCTTCTTTAAGTACTAGACAAACCAAAACTGTGAATGTTATGGCGTCTTATATGAATCCCATCGTAGGAATAGCAGGCGCAGGCTCTCCTGCAACGGCGTGAAGCTGGCGGGGGGGGGGGGGGGGCTTCGCCCGCGGCGCGGGGTCGGCGGGCAGCGGGCCTGTCGCCGGCGCCCTCGACATCGCCGCGCGCAAAGTCAGGAGGAAGGGGGCGCAGAAGAAAGACTCGAACTTGGACAGGAAGGTGCAAGCGATAGAGCATTCCATAGATTTCCTCGACGGTCCCATGAGTTTCCTGGGCGCCAATCATGGGCCCTGGACCCGTCGGCATTTTCGCGCGCTGGAACTTCCGACCCCTAAGAGGCCGCGAGTGGTAAACGAGCACTCGAGCATTCCAAGACCCGAAGAGAACTGGCGAATGAGAGGGGCGCAACGGACCGCTGGATGGCGTCCTGGATGGTTCGCCGGTCGATGCCCTCGGCGACGAAGTTGGATTGGGCCGACTTGACAATGGGCGTCTCGTTTTTTTCCGGCGGGGCCCCGGCGTAATGATCGGCTTCCAGCCCGCGCGTGCACGCCCGCGGTTCTTGTCTGCGAAGAAGCGCTCCTGGGGGCACAGAGTCTCGCTCTCACGACGGACGGCCTCAACCAGCTACTCCCTTTCGACCTGCGCAGGTGCCTTGCGCGCGTCAATCCACATCTCGACCGCCACGGCCGAGCGAGCCCACCAAGGCGCGGCGGGGCCATTGCCCGCCCCGCCCGCGGGAGGAGCCGGGCGCCCGGGCGACCTCCTGATGGAGGTCGCCTTTACTTCCCGACGCGCGAACTTGTGCGCGGGCGGTAGCGGCCTGTCCTTCAAATCGAACTTCATTGTCAGCAAAGTTGTTCTGCTCCAGCATCGGGTTGATGGCTGTCTTGAACGCCTCCAAGGTCGCTAGGGATTTGGTACGAACCACCAGCACTGCACTATCGGGGGTGCGGTCGAACTGGAACTTGTCGGAAATCGCCTGCACGTCGGGCCCCTCGGTCTTGATGGTGCCAACCATGCGCTTGAGCTCTGAGATATGCGTGTCGACCTCCTTGA